AAAGAACAAATGGGGCATTGTCACTGTGGGGTGAACACCCAGCGCCGCCAGGCACTTTCATCTGTGGCCAGTGTGCGCCTCAGGGCAGGGAGAGCCGCCCCCCCTTCCCCTAACTGTATATAAGTGGTCAGCGTCTCCTCGTTAGGGGAATTTATTTTTATTCCTGAGAGTTCAGAAACGCGGAGCACAAAGCTGATTTATCAGTAAAAGCCAGAACTATTGAGGAAGCACCCCCTCCGCAGAGAGCTGAGCCGCAGAGGGAGCGGCCGCGGGGACCCTCCCACCGTGGTGCCTGAGGGCTGTGCAATGCTCAGCATAGTTGGAATTTTCTTTCGGATCCCTCCCCCTACAGCCACTTCATAACCATGAGCGGGAGGGCTGTTTTCTCCTTAACCGTTGCTCTTCCAGAACCTTCGCTGAAACAGAGGGGCCAGCTGCACAGCCGCCTTTCGTGTCCACCACAGACTGAGCCCGTGGGGTCCAGAGCACGGCGAGTCCCATTCGGGTCCCCCCGCCGGGCCTTGGGAAATGATAGTGCGCTTTTCCATGTCAGAGGGACCATAGCATGCAAAGTATCTGTGGTCTCAAGATCCTTATTCTCTGTTGCAAAAGTCTCAGTTCACACTCTGAGCAGGTATGACAAACAAGTGACAGATGTGACCACAATCACCAGTGCCTTTATCCCTGTACCTGTATCTGGGAAGGCCACACATTTTAAGCAAGAGAGGGAGCTGGCAGGGAGAGCTGTTGGTGAGTCTTGAACATGCCCCCAAAGTGACACTTCGCGCCTGTGTGGTTTGTAATAGGCCCCACTGCCAAGCACCGCTGAGGGAACCAGGGAAACAGGATTTTTTTTCCCCCTTTCCTCTTTTGTGTGGCTGAGGAGGATAAACAGTTGGGTCCCAGAGTTCCAGGTTTTTCTTCGATTACATGTTGTCCCCTAGAGATTCCCCCCTTCTGCCTCCGTCAGGGGGAATCATTGCTTTTGCTGTTGCTGTTAAATATTCCTGTCATTTGGCAACACGGGCTGCTGAGAAAAACTTGGGGCCTCGCTTCCGCACGCGAGAGGCACGGGGCTGGCTCGGGGAGAGGCCACCTGCGTTCTTCCCCATCCCTCTGAAGGTGTTTCTGTCTCCGTCGTAATTCAGACCGAGCGTTCTGTCGGGAGGGTCCAGTTTGATCCCTGAACGGGAAGGCCGTGTGTGCAGGCGGTCGGCAGGCCTGGCCTCTCCCCGGGAAAGAGCCCCGGTCAGGGAGACTAATGCCCGGGAGCTGCATCTGTTTGCGTAGCGCGAAGACGCAGAACTTTGGGTTCAGCTCTGACTCTTTGGTCCAAACCTTGTCTTTCTAGATTTTCTATATCCCAACTTCTCCCCCTTTTCGACCAAACGGTCCCATCCCTTACCCCAGTAGAACATCAGAAGAAAGCGGAACACCCGGAAGGAAGCATGTCCTTGGTGACCTGAGCCTCGTTGAGGTAGAAGGGGAGAGATGAGAACAGTCGTCTTTTGCTCCCAGTGTCCCATGGGAAACAGCACCTCTCCTTCTAGAATTCAGTTCTGAAGTTCCTCCCTGGATGTAGGCTCTCGTATTAAGCTGCGACATCTTCAGTCTGTGGCCCAGCTGTTCTAACTCAACTGCGCTCATTTTTCTCCCTCTTCTGATGCTTTTTTTTTTTTTTTTTCCTGGTGCTTTTTTGACAAAGTAGCTCTGGCTCCCACCTCGTCTTTGTCCCATCGCTGAGGGATGTGCACCACGAGTCCGTGTACCCACAGCCACCCTTCAGCTACTCCGATCCGCCTCGAGAAGACATCAAGGTACCAGCATCCTTTCCCTGAGAAGCAGGCGGCCCGAATCCAATGTGCTGCGGGGGACCCAGCTCTTCCCCCTAAGCGGAGGGAGGGGGGTGCCTTTTGGGGGCATGGATAGGGCCTGAATTGTAAGCTTCTCTCTTTTTTTTTTTTTTTTTTTTTTAACGTTTATTTATTTTTGAGA